GGCCAGGATGGTCAAACTTTATCTCTCATACTTTGTACATATTGTCAGGAGGGACCAGTCGCTGGAGAAGGATATCATTTTTTAGTAAGGTGGAGGGTCAGAGAAAAAGAGGAAGACCCCCCAATGAGACTGGCCAAGTGGCAGCATCAATGGGCTCAAGCGTGGCAACCATTGTGAGGTTGGCCCAGGATCGGGCAGTGTTTCATTTTGTTGTGCATAGGGCCGCTGAGTTGGTACTGACTCAATGGCACCTAACAACATCACCATTAGGACTTCTGGTGTGGCACTGTAGGATCAGCACTGGACTGCAAACCACAAGGTCAGTAGTTCAAACCCACCAACTACTCCTCAGAAACCCTATACAGGGTCAATAGGAGTCTAACCGGCTTGACAGCATTAATAACAACAGCATCACCGTTAGGGCATCACGGTGAGATCCACAGCTCACAGGAGGGATTGTGTGGTCTTTATGTAAGTCACTTAAGCCTTAGGCCTTGGTTTTTCCTCATCCGTAACATGAGACTATTAAGAGCACTTGTTTCCTGGTATGCCAATGTTTACTGCAGCACGATTCAAAGTAGTCTAAAAATGGAAACAACCTAAATGCCCATCAACAGATGACAGGACAAACAAAATGTGGTAGATCCATACAATGGAATATTATTTAGTCAAAAAGTGAAATGAAGTTCTGAAATATGGATGAACCTTAAAAATACGCTGAGTGAAACAAGTTACACACAAAAAGGTAAATAATGCATGATCCCACGTATATAAAATATCTAGGATTGGGCAAATGCATAGAAATAAAAGTTTATTAGTGGTGCCATGAACTGGGGAGAGAAAGAGGAATTTTTGCTTAAGGATACTGGGTTTCCGTTTGGGATGATGAAACCTTTCTGAAGTAGGTAGTACCACATGGAGAATGTGAGTCACATAAGTGAGTTGTACACTTAAGAGTGTTTAAAATGACAAATTTTCATCTTAAATATTTTATCATAAACAACATCATGATAAATGGAGAAAACATTAAAGCTGTCCAGGAGTTCATTTTACCTGAATCCACAGTCGCCACTCATGGAAGGAAGCAGGAGTCAAGAAACTAAACCAGGTACTGCATTGGAAAAATTTGCTATAAACGATCTCTTTAGAAGGAAGTATCTATTAAAGAGCAAAGCTGTCAATTTGAAGACTAACTTGTGCCTGACCCAAATCATGTTATGTTTGATCACCTCATATGCATGAGAAAGCTGGATGATGAATAAGGAAGACAAGAGAATTGATGTCTTTGAATGTTTTATAGTATTGGCAAAGAATATTAACTACATCATGGGCTGCCTGTGTTGGAAGAAGTATAGTAGGAATGCTCCTTAGAACCGAAGATGGCAAGACTTCATCTCTTGTACTTTGAACGTGTTATCAGGAGGGACCAGTCCCTGGAGAAGGACATCATGCTTGGTAAGAGATGGACTGGCACAGTAGCCACAAAGGGTTCAAACACAGCAACGATGATGAGGGTGGTGCCGGACCAGGCAGTGTTTCCTTTTGTTGTATTATGGGAACCGACTCTACAGCACCTAACAACAACCATACTAACATCTAAAAAACAAGAAAAAGAAACAAGAGTACCCACTTCGCTGAGTTGTTTAAGGATTAAATGGGAACTTGAGAACCACAATCCTAGCTCCCAGCTCCCCAACTCTTTTACCAGTGTTATAAGGAGCCTAGGTACAAATAGGTATAAGGAGCCTAGGTACAAATCTGGTCCCAAAATCTTACCTTGGGACCAGGTCCATATTTTCTGATAAACCAGGTGGCTCCTGCCTTCAGGAGTCTGTTCTCCTGACCCCATTGGCCCAGTCAGATTGCGGTTGATGGAAAATGCAACAAACAATTCTGTGATATTTCCTTAGGGGTTTATGGGAAAAGGAACTAAACCTAGTACCTTAGACTAACATCCACAGGGCAAGGTAGTTTCTTCAAGATTGTGATTTGCCCATCCCTACTCAGTGCATTTGAATTATGGTTTGGATAAAGAATATTGAAAGTACCATAGAAAGCGTTGAAAGTGCCATGGGCTGCCAAAAGAACCAACAGATCTGTATTGGAAGAAGTGCAGCCAGAGTGCTCCTTGGAGGCCAGAATGGCCAAACTTCGTCTCTCATACTTCGGACATATTGTCAAGAGGGGCCAGTCGCTGGAGAAGGATATCATGTTTGGTAAGATGGAAGATCCCCAACGAGATGGAGTGGCAAAGTGGCAGCATCGATGGACTCAAGCATGGCAACAACTGTGAGGTTGGCCCAGGATCGGACAGTGTTTCATTCTGTTGTGCATAGGGTCATGTTGTGCATAGGGTCACTATGAGTCGGTACTCACTCAATGGCACCTAACAACAACAACAAAGACTGTCATAAAAACAAGCAAATCTGTCTTGGAAGAAGTGCAGCCAAAATGCTCCTTAGAAGCCAGGATGTCCAAAGTTCGCCTTTTGTACTTTGCACAGATCATGCTTGGAAAAATGAGGGTCAGCAAAAAAGAGGAAGATCCCCAACAAGACAGATTGACACAGAGGCAGTGAGAATGGGCTCAGACATAACAATTATGAGGAAGGCACAGGACTAGGCACTGTTCTATTGTATACAGGGTCGCTATGAGTCAGAACCGACTTGATGGCCCCTAGCAACAACAACAACGGCAGCAACTCAAGTTTAGTGGGTTGTGAGGATGGAGTAGAACCCGGCTTAACAAAGGATAACTGGAAAGCCCCTTAAGTGTTTCGTTCTGCGATGCCTCGTATCGCTATGAGTAGGAACTGATTCAAAGCATCTAACAACAACAAACAACTCAGCTTCGAGGGTTGTAAGGATGAGTGAGAGGGAGCCTACTCCATGGCCTTATCAACAACAATTTAGAAGACACAATCAGTCACAGCCAAGAAGTTCTCCCCCCGCCCCCCCACACCCTGTTTAGGGGAAATTTGTGATTCCCAATGCTGAGACCACAGAATCCTGGTAATTCAGTGGGTTAAGTGTTCGCTGATAAACAAAAGGATGTGGGGTTCAAACCCGCCAGCCAGTATGCAGGAAAAAGATTTGGAAGACTCCTTCCGTTAAGGATCACAGCCTCAGAAACGCTAAGTCTTGCTGTGGGATACAGCGCTGGACCTAAAGATTGGTTTGAATCCTTGGAAACCCCCTACAGGGTCGCTGTGAGTCGGAACCAACTTAACAGCAACAACAACGAAGACAGAAGTCACAGAGACCCCCCTCACGTTTTCCTTGGTGTTAGGGTTAGGGAAGATTCCCAGAGTTAAGTGTGGATTTTCTGAAAGGGAGGATCTCTCATCAGTTCCCACTGGGACCCAGGTCCCCTCACACTGTGTATGGGTTTCGTCCTTGGGTGGATTTGGTTACCTAAGCAGGCCTAAGGCAATCCCCCAGCCCTAACGCTCCAGTCCCGGATCTCAGGGACCCATTCTAAAAGCCCTCCCTTGTCCCTGTCGTCCCAACCCCGTCCCTTCCTCCGGTCCCGGTCCACCCCAGCCGTGGCCCGGTTCGCCGGCTGCTCACCAGCATAGAAGGCCGAGACGGCGATGGGTGCTCCGATCGTCTGGTCACACACCACCTTGGCCAGGATGGTGCGCGGCGCGCGGCCCGGCAGCGCGCGCTCCAGTAGGCGCAACCACGCGTAGTTGAAGTTGGCATGGAAGACCACGACCACGGTGGCCACGCGCCGCGTCTGGCGCCAGTCGGACGGGCCACCCTGTAGCCGCTGCTGCAACGCATCGCCGGTTGAGAAGAGCGTGGCGTAGAGCAGCACGTTCGTGGGCCACGGGTAGCGCCGGACCGCCCGCGGCAGCGCCCGCCACCAACCCGCCATGCCCGCCATGCCCGCCCGCCCGCGAGTCAGGCAATGACAGCCACCGGCCTCTCGGACCACGCCCGCCGACCGCCCTGCGCCCTCCGCGGCTCCTCCCCGACACCCGGACCACCTCCACCTGCCTGCTCCCCACGCCCAGCCCACACCGTCCAATCCGGAGGCCCCTGGGCATGGTGGCGGATGAGCCCTTGAAATGTAACTGCTGCATCGAATGCATGAATTCCATTGATAAGAATTGTTCCCAACGGGGAAATCCAGTGAGACAAAGGGGAGATTCGTGGTTGCCAGGGGCTGGGGGAAAGGGAGAATGAGGAGTGACTGCTAATAGCTTCCTTTTGGGGATGTGGAAAATGTTCTGGAATTAGATACTGCTGATGGTTACGCAAGCCCCTGAGTTGTACAATTTTTAAATGGTGAGTTTTATAGAATGTGAATTCTAGAAAATTTTTTTTCCCAAAGGACGATTTTAAAAAAGAGAGAGGATACAAAAAATCAGCTACCAAAATAGTGGTGTCTTTAACATTTTTACATAGAAGGATCACACATTTTACACACACATAACGCAATGGATTGTGTAAGTTCCTCCTTACTGAATATTGCCTCCTGTTCTAGGCATGAAAAAAACCCCAAATTCAAATGTATTTTATGGAGACCCCTTTGTTAAGTCTTAAACCAGACAAAGACACAATAAAGACAAATCATTGGGATTAGAAACACCATCAATATTAGGCCATAATGGGGTCCTGAGGATTCACCACCACGTGGTCAATTCTAAAACATAGAAAATAAAGGAAATTGTCATGAAATCATGATTGGTGAGAGATCATGTCATCACTCTTACAGGCGAGACTATGGAAGTGGGAAGGGAACCATGATTGGAATACATATACTGTTTCAGACTAGAAAATCTTCCAGGATTGACTCTGGCGTCCTCTGCCTAGGTCAGGCCAGTGGAGGGGGAGCAAGTCCCCTGAGGGTAAGATTGCTAGGGAGGGGAAGTCAAAATCTGCTTTCCAACACATTCTGCCTGAGAGCAAAGTTTTTTACATTGCAGATTAAGGGACAGAAAGAATTGAATTAAATCAAGCCTTAAAATGTAGTTAGGGTTCCCACTGTAAACTTTAGCCTTCCATAAACCACGTGATTAAAAGTTAAACTCTTAATACATTTCTAGGCACTGTGCCAGAAGAGAAGATGGTGGTTAGTGGGAACCCTAAAACATGAAACTCAGTTCTATTTGCTTAAGTGCATTCAACTCTGTGTGTCTCTCTCCCCTATTTACTTGGTGGTGGCCGTGTGCGGTGGAGTCGGAACCGACTCATAGTGACCCTGCACAGGGTTTCCGAGGCTGTAAATCTTTACGGGAGCAGAAAACCTCATCTTTCTCCCGCGGAACAGCTGGTAGTTTCAAACTGCTGACCTTAAGGTTCGCAGCCCGATTCCTAACCACTACGTTACCAGAGCTCCTTCCTATTTACTTACCCTATTTAATTTTTTTTTCTTCAGTTTTTTGCATTTCATTTTGGAATAATTTCAGACTTACAAAAAAGTTACAAAACAGAACAAAGAATTCACATGTACTCTTCACTCAAATTTCCTCAAATATTAACATCTTACATAATCATAGTACAATGGTCAAAACCAGGAAATACGCATTGATGCAATGCGAATACTATTACCTAATCTACAATTCGAATGATTGCCAGTTGCTCCATTCAAGTCCCTTTTCTGACCTGCCATCCAATCCTGGATCACACAGCATTTTACTGAGAATTTGCACCTCATTTGCTGCTCCAATCTGGGACGCTAGCCAATAATTTTGTAGAATGTTCCCAATTTGCTAACCTCATTCTCTTTAAAAGTTGGGAATCTGCCTGTTTCTAAATGCCCCACTTGCTGTTTTCCATCCCTCTCCTCTCTTGGTCTTTTGTTACTGGTCGCAAGTAAACCTATTAGATCTCTTTTTGCTAGACAGGCTCCTAGCTCACCAATACACTCCTTTCTTTACTTATTACTCTTATATTCGCTCCCTATTGTTGCTGTGGTAGCGTAGTGGTTACAAATCGGGCTGCGAACCTTAAGGTCAGCGGTTCGAAACTACCAGCCGCTCCGCGGGAGAAAGGTGAGGCTTTCTACTCCCGTAAAGATTTACACCCTCGGAAACCCTGTACAGGGTCGCTATGGGTCGGAACCGACTCGACGGCACTTGACAACAACAACAACAATTGTTGCTGTAACAGATTACCACAGACTTCATGGCTGCTTTAAAACAGCATAAATGTATTTTCTTACAGATAGGAAGGTCAGAAATGTAAAATAGTTCACCGGACTGCTTTCAGATTCTAGATGGCTCCTAGATCTAGCCTTATCTTCAAAGTCAGCAGTTTAGCATTTTCTGATCTCTGCTTCTGTGATCACATAGTTTTTCTAACTCTGACCCTCCTATCTTCCTCTTCTAAGGCTTCCTGTGATTGGTTATATTAAATATACCCAGATAATCCAGGATCATCGACCCATCTCAAAGTATTTCATTTAAAAATTAATTCCCCTTGTCATGTAAAGTAACATAATCTAATCACAGTTTCCAGGGATTAGGATGTAGGTGTCTTTGAATAGGGTCACTCTTGATTTTGTCTTCTGTCTCTGCATTCCTGTGGGCCATCCTAACAGCAGTTGGTCATGTTAGCTGAAATCAAAGTACCAATTTCTCAACACATACAGATTAGGACAATCTGTTTATCAACCATTTGCTTATTCATTTATTCAACTGTTAAATATTTATAAAGCACCACTATGTGCCTGGTACTGAGCTGTATGCTGTGGAACTTTGTAAATTTTGGATTTGGATTTGAAATTCCCTTTTAAGAATATAATTCCTGCTTAAATTTGAAGAAATGATTGCAGTGATGGGGAGGGGGAAAAAAATCACCCAAACATTTCCCTAGTCATTTCTAGAAGATTCCCTTAGCCAAATTTGTTAGAGAGAAAGAAAGCAACATGGGGATCCTCAAAAGGGTAACTGGAAGCAAGAATGTAGGGTGGAATTATCCAGTTAATATATAGGATACCGGGAGAAAGATGAGGTTTTCTGCTCCTATAAAGATTTTGTTGCTATTGTTATTAAGCACTGTCTGGTCGGTTCTGACTCATAGTGACCCTGTATAGGGTTTCTGGTGGGTTTGAACCACCAACCTTGTGTTTAGCAGTTCAGTGCTTATGCTAAGAGTCACACCAGAATTCTTTGTAAAGATTTACAGCCTCGAAAACCCTAAACTGGATCGCTATGAATCTGAGTCGACTTGATTGCCATGAGTTTGGTTTTTTGGTTTCCTACAGGATTCAGGAGCCGTGGTGGCACTGTGGCTAAAGCATTCAGCTGCAAAGCAAAAGGTTGGTAGTTTGAACCTACCCAGTGCCTCCACAGGAGAAAGAACTGACAATCTGCCTCTATAAAGATTATAGCCCAGCAATCCCGATAAGACAGCTATACTCTGTCCTATGTTGTTGTTAAGTGCCATCCGAGTCAGTTCTGACCCATAGTGACCCTGTAGAGGGTTTCCAAGGAGCGACTGGTGAGCTTGAACCACCAATCCTGCAGTTCAAACTGACTTTGCAGTCTAGCTCATTAACCCACAGCACCACACCAGGACTCCCTCTCTGTCCTTACAATGTCCTATAATGCCCTAGAATGTCCTGTAATGCCCTATAATGAGTCAGAACCAACTCAACAGCAGTGAGTCTGGTTTTTGGACACAGGATGCTCAGTTAGCTTTGAACTTCAGAAAAACAATGAATAATTTTTTAGTGTAAGTATGCCTTGTGCAATATTTGAAACATATTTAAACTATAAAGCTATTCGCTATTCATCTGAAAGTCAATATTAACTGAGCATCCTGTAAGTTGTTTATTTGTTTTGCTAAATCTGGCAACCCTAAGAGGAATGAAATTAATGTTTATTGAGAATCTACATTGGAGGAGAATATTAAAAGTGCCATGGGCTGCCAAAACAAACAAACAGATGCGTGTTGGAAGAGTGTAGCCAGAGTGCTCCTTGGAGGCCAAGATGGCCAAACTTCGTCTCTTATACTTCAGACATAGTGTCAGGAAGGACCAGACGCTGGAGAAGGATAACATGTTCAGTAAGGTGGAGGGTCAGAGAAAAAGAGGAAGGCCCCCAGCGAGATGATTGGTAACATCAATGGAAGTGTCAACATCAATGGGCTCAAGCGTGGCAACAATAGTGAGGTTGGCCCAGGATCGGGCAGTGTTTCGTTCTGCTGTGCATAAGGTCACTATGAGTCAGTACCGACTTGATGGCACCTAACAACAACAACAACAACAGTGTGTTCTGGGAGCACAGTGGTTCTATGGAATAAGAACTGTACTGCAAACAACTAGATCAGCAGTTCAAGCCCACCAGCTGTTCCGAGAGAGAAAGATGAGGCTTTCTGCTCCCGCAAAGATTTACAGCCTCAGAACAGGATCATTTGACTCCTGTGAGTCGGAACCAACAACGCCAGTATGTGCCAATTCTCTTACTACTTGCTGTGTGCCATCCAGTTGATTCTGACTCACAGTGGTCCTATAGGATACAGTAGAACTGCCTCATAGGGTTTCCAAGGCTATAAATCTGCATGGAAGCAACTGTCACATCCTTCTTCTGGAGAGCACAATCCAGACCTTTCGATCAGCATTCGAACGCTTAACCAGTGCGTCACTCAGACTCCTTACAAACCCCTTCCCACTTCCATTGAGTCAATTCCAGCTCAGATCGACCATGAATAGGGTTTCTGAAGCTGTCCATTTTTACATCTCTCTCCCGAGGAGCAGCTGGTGGTTTTGAACTACCAACCTTGTGGTTAGCAGTGCAGTGCTTATCCTATAGCGCCTCCAGGGTTCCTTTCCAAATTCCATGGTGGTCCTTATCAAGTAGTTCAACATTATTTATTTCTCTCTTCTTCAAGCAATACAAAATTCAGTTGTTGTTGTTAAGTGCCATT